GGTAAATCTTATATATAATTTACCACTAGGGGAAAAATATGTCTGGGCCAGCCCCACAGCCTCGTGGTTAAGAGAACTGGATCCCACATGTCAACCCTGCAGTTAGAATCCTAGCCCAGTGGCTTGAAAAACACGCCAGGAGCATGCGTACACATGCTCAAAATCCCGACAGGATGGAGAAATGGAGGTCGAGACTGCAGTGTGACCACAATGGGGCACCATTTCTTCCTCTCTCTGATGAGCTCAAAAAAAAAAAAGGCTCAGCTGCAGTAGCACACACAAGGAGGGTGCTGGAACCACATGGAAGCTGCAGGTTCAGTGACACCAGACCAGTGACCCAATAGGTCGGGCACAGTGGCATGCGTCTGTGGTCCTAGGTAACTGGGAGCCTGGAGCAGGAGGGGAGTGACACGGTGAAACCCCGTCAAGAAGAGCTCTTCCCCCCAACTGGCTAAAACATACACATATATACATAGGGGTGCACACACGTGCACATGCATGTACACACACACAACCAGAGTCACAGAGGGCAAATATGCATGTCCTCAAGCCTGTTTTCCCAAGCCTCTCCTGCTGGATTTCTGCTCAAGGGGCCTCTCCAGTCTTGCTGCATCCAAAAGTTTCTTGCTGTCACTCCCCGTTGAACATGTACCTGAGCGCATCTTCTCCCACTAACCCAGATGCTCCCAGATGGTAGGGACCCCACTCTCCTTGCATACGGCCTGCACAAATAACTATATCGCAAATGACTGGCATGTCGGGCAGAGCCTGCCATGCGGCTCTGAATGTGCAGGGTTGGAAGGACCCCTTGGCTGGTCCAGTTGTGCTTTTCAGAGGGCAGTGTGGGGCAGTGGGAAGAACACCGCAGAGCCACCACGTTAAGGAAAGGTTTGGCATTCATACAGACACCCAGAATCCCAACTCTGCCACTTCCCGTCGCATCCTTTCCTGTGAATGGGTGTGAAGTACCTTGTCACCACGCTGCAGCCCACGCTGCAGTGAGCGGCCTGTGATGGTTTCTGCTCCTTCCACGAAACCCCAGGGGCCTTCAACTCAGAAAAAAAGAAAGCTCACTCATCCAAACACATCTGAAGTCATTAGATCCAGGCCACCACGTCTGCCACTGCAGAGCATTAGGGTGGCTTCGACCCCTCCCTACACTGATTCTCATTGTTCCTTTTGAGGCCACAGGCTCCACAGCCATCTAAAGGACATCAGTAAACAGTCCAGACAGAGACAGATGGCTGAGCCAGCGCGGGACCCCGCTTTCCCTGCCAGCCACACAGGGCCGCACATCAGAGAGGACTAATGGGCAGAGCTGAAAGGCTCCTGGGGCTGAAACAAATAGGAGTTTTAAAACCTAACAGGATGCAAACCCATGACGTGCACTAGGTTAAGGAGGAACCATAATAGAATCTAAGGCCTTGGAGTGACGATGATGTGTCAGGGCAGGTTTATCAACTGTAACAAACATACCACTCTGTAGGAGATGCCCCTAATGGAGGAGGCTATGCAGGTGGTGGGGGCAGAGGGGATAGGAGACATCGCTGTATCTTTTGCTTAATTTCTTTTTTTAAAATTATTTTTATAGAACTTTATTTATCATTATCATTTTTAAATTTGACTGGAAAGAGACAGAGAGAAGAGGGAACGTGAGAAAGCAAGCCGTCAGGTTTGGGATTCGAACCATGATCAGCCATGTGGGAGTCCAACACCTTTAACCACCATGCGACCTGACAGCCCCTTGCTCAATTTCTTTTAAGTTGATCGATGTCGTTGTTTATTTAAGAGAGGTTATTTCGGACAGGGTCTTGCAATGCCAGGACCCTCCTGCTCCAGCCTCCCTGCGCCCTAAGACTGCCATGGTGCCCAGCCTCTCTTCAGGTTGGGGCAGGAATCAAACCAGCTCTCCAGCATGGCCTCACCTCCAATGAGCAATGCCTCAGCAGCAGCAACCACCACCAAGGTTGAGCCCGTCTTCAGCCCAATTTAGTTGTGAACCTAAAAATACTCTTAAAAAAAAAAAAAATTCAAGGGCTAGCAGGTGGCATAGCAGTTAGGCGCTAGACTCCCACATGGGAGACCACAGTTTGAGTCCTGGACCTAGCCGCGTGAAACTCACGCCTGGCATGTGAGCATATGTGCCCAAAATCCCGAGAGGAACATGGAGGAGAAGGGATTGTGGCATGGCAATTTCTCACTTTCTGTCTGCCTCTCTGGTAAGCACATGCACCCTATAGCAAAAATCTCCCTCCAAAGAAAATATTCAGGGACCAGCAGATGGTGTAGTGGTTACGTCACTGGACTCCCACTCAGTCGACTGTGGTTCGCGTCCCAGACCCGATGGCTTAAAACTCACACCGGGTGCCTGTGCGTGTGTGCCCAAGATGCCAAGAGGAGAATGGAGGAAGCATCCCCCTGGGGGGTGAGTCTTGCTTTCTGACTCTCTGTCTCTTTCTCTGTTCGGCAAGCGCACATGCCCAATAGCAAAAACCTATCTCTCAAAAAAAAAAAAAAAATTAGACCAACAGGTGGCATGATAGTTGGGGCACTGGACTCCCACTTGGTCTACCATAGTTCAAGTCTCAGACCTGGTGGCTTGCTTTCTCACCCCTCCCCACCCCACCTCTATTTGCAGTATATTAAAAAATAATAATAAAGTTAAATAAATAATACTTTTTTAAAAAAATAAAGTCAGCCTTTAAAAATAAAACAGGGATGGGAAACAGCAGTTAGTGTAATGGCTATGTCGCTGGACTCCCACGTAGTCGACCACGGTTCGCGTCCTGGACCCGGTGGCTTAAGACTCACGCCAGGCACGTGTGCGTGCAGGCCCAAGATCCCGAGAGGAGAAGGGATTGCAGCGTGACCATCCCCCCTGGGGGGTGATTTCTCGCTTACTGTCTCTATGTCTCTCTCTGTCTGTCTGGCAAGCGCACGTGCCCTATAGCGAAAACCTCTCCAAAAATAAATAAATAAATAAAACAGGGACAGTCAGGTGGCATGGCGGTTAAAGCAACTGAATCCCATATGGTCGACTGCGCAGTTCGAGTCCTGGACTCTGCAGCTGGAGAAACATGCCAGGCACATGTGTGTGTGCATGCATTGCCCACAATTCCAAGAGGAGAATGAAGGAGAAGGGACTGCAGCATGGTCATCCACCCAGGGGGTGCTTTCTCATTCTCTCTGCCCCCAGCAAGTACATGAGCCCTAAGGCAAGTTATTTAAAAAAACAAAAAACTATCTGAGAGAGATCACATAATCTCTTTTAAATGATGGTATTTAGATAACCTTAATCATTAAACATGCCTGAGGGACAAAATAAAAATCTAATAAAAAAGGGAACATGGAACCTTGAGACCACTCAGAAAAGTCCTGACAGTGGGCCCAAGTTGTAAAATTAACTGAGAACCAACCCTGTGGAACTTTAGGCCCTGGGCCTCACTGCCTTCTAATTCCTGTTTTCACCTGCTCTGACTCGTATTCAGGGGTCTGCTGGGCTACGTGGCTGTCTATAGAAGCTGGGCCCAACTTTCTGGAAGACAATACCAAGACAATATCATTTCAGATTGCAGGTCTCCATGCAAAGCTCCCATCTTCTTAATTAATGATGTTCTCCAGCTTCCCCGGTGCTGAGGGCCAGCTCTAGCTGGCTCGTCCTGCTGACAGCTGGCCGGACAAGGCGGATGCCCAGTAACCACAGGGCAATTCTCCAGACTCTGAGCGAGCTGATGCGCCTGCAAAGCAGGCCTCTGAATACTACAGCCTTCCGCCCCCCACCAGGGACTTGGAGAATACGACTGGGCCAGGCCACAGGTCCCAGCCACGCTCCACAGCCAAACCCAGCTGCAGATGGCAGATCAGCAACTGGAAGGACCTAAAACAAACGGGACAGAGTGCTGATCGAGAAAAGGCTGCTTGGCAGAGCCAAAAATAGCCTCCGTTGTTTCAAGAGGATCCTGACAAAACGAAGCACATGCAACTCCATCAGCAGAAAAAGAAAGATCGATGGAGCAGAAAACCGGATCACCCAGGACTCCAAGAGATTCCGGACAGCCTCGCATACCCCCAGCCCACCCACAGCCCACAGCCATCCACCCTCTCCTTACCCCAACTGCAAAACATGCCTAGATCTCGAAACCTAGTCCCATCACCCCAGAAGCCTAAAGGTGTGTATACACAGCACAGAAGTTATGTACACAATCTTGTAGGTTTAATCTTAGAGTCAGGGTCAGATCATGAATTAGGAGCCCAAAACATGCACCTGTGGGTGCTCATCTTTGAGATGACAGGGGACACTGAGGATGGGGAAATGGGGCTGGATCAAAAGGCAAGGAGTTGTGTGTGGGTGAGTAATGACAGGGGAGGTGACATCTCCCATCAAAGCCCCAGCACATCAGAATGGGTGTGGCCCAGCCTCAGCCCCGTTGGTTTTCAGCGGCCCACTGAGTCAGGCCTGCCTGTCACCTCACACCTCCTCGATCTTTATTTTTCACTTGCTCCGACTCGCCTGCCTCTCCTGGCTGCAGCAAACACTGCCTAGAGTCCCCAAACGTGTCACATAAAACCCATCCAGGACAGGAATGGTGGGATGACAGAGGATGTCCAAGGCACAATTCGGTCCCTGTTAAAAGCATGCAAACCTGGTGACAGACAGGACTCTGGCTCTGTACCATCCTAACTGCCAGGGTGGAGAGATCCCAAGGCAGGGATCAGAGGTTGTACTTCCTCAAGAAGCTCAGTGCTCTAAAACCAAAGGAATGTGCCACCTACCAGCCCACACTCCCCAGCCCATTCCACATACTGAGGATCTGCATTCCGGAGCAGAGAGCCTCTTCCAGCAGAAATGAGCCTTAGCCACAACGGAACTTGAAAATCACTCCAAAAAAGTCTCAACCCATTTCTCCCTCAGTCACTTCCCCTTTTGTAGTCCCCCTACCCCTTTATCATTTTCCGGGCTGGTGCAGGTGCAGCCAGTCAAGGTGGCAGGAGGTACCCACCTGCATCTCCGTGGAAGTTGCCGTCCCCATCGTTGGGCCAGATCTGCCCGGTCTTGCGGACGCCCACTATAGTGGCCTCGGACACCACGACCTGGCACTGCCGGTGCCGCTTATGGCACTGTGGCGTTGGGGGGCTGCTGCTGTCGAAGGACTGCTGTGAGTTCTGCGACGGGGAGCGGCTCTTGTCCCGGAACATGCGGTAGGTGGTGGGGCTCGGGGACACCCGACTGGACTGGCCGGAGGAAAAGTCCTCCTCGCTGGAGGTGAGGTTCTCGTTGGAGCTGCAGTCCGGGGTATAGCCGCCTCCACAGTCCTCAAAGCTCCGGGGGGAGTAGGACCTGCGAGGCCAGGTGAGCCGCTTCTCCTGCTCCGAGGTGCTCTGGCTGCGCAGGAGCGGCCCCTTGCCCTCCCCTTCCCCCATGATGCCCCCGACGTAAATGCTCTGATAGGGTTGGTACTCCAGGGGCGGCCAAGGGGGTCTGCTGCCGCCGTTGGCATTGATCAGGTTGTCCTTCAAGAAGCGGGGGTTCAACTCAGCGTCCTCGTAGTCGCCGTCGAGGCCGCCGCTGCTCTCGGAGGAGCGCCCCCGGTAGGAGGGCCTGGACGCGTCCCCGGGGCCCTGTGCGTGCTGGGTCTTCTTGCGCTCCATCTGCATGGCCTGGCTGCCCAAGGAGCTGATCCGGTCCGACACCTCTTTGTCGTTGACCTTCACCAGGCCGCGCTCGTGGTGAAACTCGACGTTCACATAGAAGGGCTTCTCAGCGTCCGCTGCCCCGGGCTGGCCAGGACCCTTGCGGATCCTTTCGAAGTTGGACCTGAGCGCCGCTACGCTGGTAGGGGGCCCTCGCTCCTCTCGGTCCGCAGGTGCCGCAGATCCTGCCCTGCGAGCGGTCGCGGGCCTGGGCTTGCCGGGAGAGCCCTCTCCGTCGGGCCGGGCCTCGGGCTCCTCGGCCGGAGACGGGTCGGCGCCGTCGGCGGGCGCGGGTGGCGGGCGCT